AATATATTTAATTCTATGGGTAATATTTATTATATTATTTACATATTTATTTATTACATTATTTAATATATTTTTTTTGGTAAATATTTATGTAATATAAAAATCAAATTTATTATACTATTTAATTTTTATTTATTTAGTTTTTAAATATTTAGTTATTTATTATACTATTTAATATATTATTTTATTTGGTCATTATTATTATTTAATGTATTGTTGAGTATATTTTTGGGCATGTGGTAACCGAGCTACCCGACTCGGGTCGTTCTCAAAGGAAGGCTATTCGGAGCTTCGTTCACTACCTAGTCGTCTAAGTCACACAACCGAAAAGGTCCTAAACATTCTACTCGCAAATTGGGGATTTGAATTAAACTAAGCTACTCTACGAAATTGAAATCGAAAGTAAGTAAAGCACGCGAAAAGATGAGAGAAATCAAGGGGGAAAGAGAGATTTTGGTTTGCCGGAGTCTCTATGCTCAAACACACGCAAATAACCGAACATTGCCATGCTAGCTAAAACCCTAGGAAGCTAAACCAAACTCTAGCACAAGACGAGCAAGCATTCAACTCCTAAGCACACTTAGTCAAGCATTCAAGATCCAAAGCAACAATCTTTTCTTCCAAAATCACAAGCACAATATCAATTTACCAAAGCAATAAAGATATACGAGGTAATGGGGCTTAAAAATAAGTTACCCACTCCAACATGCACTCGGGAGAAGCATAAAAAAAGAGAAATAGAGAGGAAAAAAAAGAAAAAAGAGAAATAGAGAAATAGAGAGGAAATTCCCAACTTAAAAGTTGGGAAATGAGAGTTGTCTTCAAAATACAAAGCAAAATGTCTACTTATAGCTACACCACAAACACACACTAAAAACACGCACATTAAAAACAGCACTCTCGACCTAGCCATAAAACTCGCGAGTGCGCGGGCGTTGGACAGCACAGCAGGCACGGACACGGCACTCGCGTGGTCGCGCGCGAATCCGCGAGCACGCGGGCAGGTGAATGCACGGGCGCGCTGAGCACTCTCGACGGCGCGAGGACTTCCGCGTGCGCGCAGGGGCGTCACGGGCG